TCGAACCCGCAGCGAAATAGAGAGTTTGTTCAGTCACACTTGACATCGTGCACTCTCTAGCCAACTATAAATCGAGCTGGCTAGTTAAGTAGTTAACATGTACATACCTACCTATTTATAATGTAGTTTAATCCGCCTCTCCTTTTTTGCGAAGTCGGAAATAACTTCGTCGTAAAAGTTTGAATTTTGGGACATCTACCTTCACTTTCTATTGTCAACAGGGACAATTTTGAATGCCGGTCTTCACTGGTTGAATTTCTTGAAAAAGTTTTTATTCTTTTTAAGGTCGAAAAACTACGTTCAACCGAAGCTCTAGTTGCAGGTATCGTCAACACTAACTCATACAATTTCAACATTTCAGAGTAGGCTTGATCCAAACTATTTTCTTTTATAAAGATAATCAGTTCGTTGGCGTTATGTTTCTGACTAATATCTTCTGTAGCATAAATAACTGAAAGTTCCGATCGTAACCCAACTATATCAAAAAAATTTCCGTGGTTATCACTCAATGACTGAAGTGCGTTTTGTGGAAACTTTATTTTTAAATTCATTAAAATTACACAATTCTAAAAATTGTATAACACTAAAATTTTTAAATCTATTATTTAGTTGCCCAGTGATATTGTCTAAAATTTCGAAAAAAAGTCTTCGATATAAAGTTCTACGATCCACTATAAATTTTTCTTTGCGGCTCTAAATTGTCATTATTAGTTTTCTCCCAGAACTTTTCAAATTCATTTCTTTTGTTACAAGTCAAATTTTTGAATTCTTCAATTTTCTTTACACAAAATCCAACGTCATTTGATTTAGTTTGCAAAATATTGAATAAATTGTCAGTAAATGGGAATATTTCGGAGAAAATATTTAACAAAAAATTAAAATCAAAGACTCTTTTCAATGAATCTAAGTAACCTCTGGATCCATTCAAAGTCTCAGTGTCCCAATCATCTTTGCTTTGTAAAATATTTTCAAATAAATCAATTAGAGGCTGTCGATATTCAGATACAGTTTGTACTAGCCCCCCACTGTAATTCCATCGTGTTGGAGCAACTCTGGGTAGTCTCTTCTGTATTTCCAAATCTAAAGCTCGTGTCCGTTTTGATGATTTTGAAAAAAAGGCAGATCGAAAATCGAGATTAAAATCTATAAAACAAGACGCATTACCATGCTATACGGCCCAGATATCAAGATTATGAGGTGAGGATGGGATGCACTTCAAGAAGTTGCTTATATCGAAGTCGCGCGAGTTCGTGTTGGCTCGATTAATCGAGTGTCATCGTTACGGTTTTATCGTGCAACATTATCTCAGCTATTGAAATGCAGGGCCGTGTCTATTGAAATTGGGTAAAAAAATGTGCCACAAAATGTGGGGGTGCCCCATCCTCTTGAAAAAACAGTTCGCCCTCTAAAAGATTATCGTCTTCTACGAGGATTTAGGTAATCATTGGGTCGATGTTATTTTCTAACAGATCGAGGTACCTTTTGCTATTTAAATTGTCAGGAATAAAAAACGGCCCGACAATGTGATCCCCTAAGATGCCAGCCCAAACATTTAACTTCTGAGGCCTTGGGGTATGAGTTTCCAAAAATAAATATGGATAGGTTTCACTCCAATACCTATAATTGTACCTGTTTACCTCCCCATTTAACTGAAATGTCGATTTATCAGAGAAACACGTATTGTACAGTAGATTGGCATTACCGTTTAATTGTTTACTAAAAATATCACAGAATTCCAGCCGATGATCGGGATCATCTTTGTTTAATTCGTGTTCCAATTTAAATTTATATGGATGAAATTTGTGGGCCTTTATAATTCGATGAACACTGCTTCGTGATACACCGGAAGCCTCAGCTACTTTCCTAATCGATTGAGTATTATCCATCTGCAAATGACTCAGAACTGCCACTTCGACTGCTTCATTCCTAATCGGTCGCTGAGGTGCATACTTTTTGTTTACTACAGAACCTGTTTCCATAAATTTTGTCAATAATTGTAAAACATACTGAGAACCTACCCTTCTATCTGGGTGATTTCTATTGAATATGCGCTCCGTAGCTCTAGCACAATTATCGTTTTTAAAATAAATGCTGACAATTTCTATTCTCTCCTGAAGGGTATAAACCATTTTGAGAACTCATTCTGGTAAAATGTAACTCGATTTAAAATTGGTTATGAACAAATTAATGTTCAAGGACTATCAAATACTTATGAGTCTTTTATTATTCTAAAACTAAACGGTCAAGGAAAGTGTTTTTTTGTCGAAAAAATTGAGAGCACTAAAAAATGTATTTTTTTATAAATTCCAATACCCAGTGCCGTGTATTTTAGATTTTTTAAACGATTTCGATTGTGTGTAATCATCAAAAATAAAACTATTTTCCTTAAGAACGAATCGATAAAAGTTAAAAAAAAAATACACAGTTATGTAGGGAATTGAAAGACCTTTCAAAAAGATGTATCACTCGACGCCCCTTGCCATTTGAATTTTTTGAGGGGATGGTAGTGTAGGGTAGAGGGATGATGATAAGTATACAAGTATTACATTAAAATATGCCCCCCTTGGAAACAAGGTCGACGTGTTTCACAAATTTTTCAAAAATATTTTATCTCCAAAGTTATTCAGGGTGTTTACTTTTGGTTGGGACATCCTGTATATGATCAATAAAGATCTATCTATCTATCTATTCTAACTGAAAATGAATATGTGCAATACATTATGGGCCCACTGTATGCCATTATGCATTGCGTAATAATTCATTTATTATATAATTTTAATGTTTTGATTGTCCGTTGTGAAGATCAACTGGTTAGTAGATTAACTTCACAGAATAAACATTTTGATTTTGACCCTTTTTGATGCAAGGGTCAGTGTCAATTTTTCATCTATTGTATAAATACCGGTCGTATTCATATTTCTTTACATTTAACTACCATCAGACTGCCTAACACTTAAAATAAGTAATGGACTTCATTTTTAATGTTTCTTGTCAACAGTAATATGTTGCGAACTCAGCTCTAAGGCCCGGAACGATGACGACAATACGGGCAAAAGTGATTAATGTTGTAATGCAATAAAACTGACGGATAATTTCGGAGGTGTCCTTATAGGTATTTTCGACTTGAATCATTTTCGACATGGTCATTTAACAAAAATAAATCGTAAAGAAAATGTAACCGAAAAAATAAGTTCTATGTAAGTAGTCCAATAGATTTCAGATAGGAAATCTATAAAGAGGGTGATAATAATATGCTTTATTTGCCCAACAGGTAACACCCAATTACAGGACAATTTAAAATACTATTAAATACTTCAAAACATTTTATAATATTTAGTAGCAAATCTTTATATAGAACATAAATGTACAATAAATGTTATTGAAAGGACTGAGAATTAAATTTAAAAAGAAGATAGTGAGATAGAAATAGTTAAGAAAAACAAAATAAGAACTTAGTTATTGGAAAAATATAAAAATAACGATGAGAAAAAAAATGTATATAAACCTAACACGCAAAAAAAACAATCAATGAAGGAGACAGTAAGCTAAAATTATATACTAAAAGTTTGCTGATAATTATTCGAAAATACTTCTTTATTACCACGGGAAAATGTTTTTGTCAAATCTTTCTACGAGATAAAAAATGAGTTGGAATTTTCAGTGAGTTATTTAAGACAATGAATTATTTTTTTTCGATTATTATCATTAAACTATAACAGAATATAGTTCTTAATAATATAATCTGCTATGCATGGCTATTTTGTCTTACAATTAGTGTTAAATCTATTGATTATTGTGCGTAGTGTAGTAGCAGCTGAAATGGTGGAATAGGAAATATTTGGAATCTTTTTCTCGAAGAGTTATTCTGCCAAAATCATACAATTTAAATAAGGATTAATAATTAATAATAATTAAGGATTAAATAAGGATTATTTAAACATAGGTCAATGAAAATAAAATATAATTTAACAGCAAAAATGTATTTGTCTTCAAGCATATAACAATACTTACATCATATATTGTAACACGTCCTGGAAAAAGAGCCTATTTTTGTACTAATACAAATATTTTTCACTTTTTTTCCTAGGACAAAAATGAAACAATGTACACTGCTGTGCAAAAGTAAGTAGGACAATGACAGTAGTGGTGTAATATATATGTAATATAAATGTATCTGCTTTTCCACGCAGAAAATTTACTAATTGCTGATCGTATTTAACCATCATTTATCCCCCGTCTCCCAGTTAAAGGCCTTCTTTTAATACTCCTTTCTTCTTATCTCACTTTTTGACTCTTATAGGTACAGTAATAAGTGCTGCCCTACTTAGTTTTGCACAGCAGTGTATGTACCTATCATACAACGAATTAAAAATCCAAGTAGCTATGACTTGTCATAACTGTCAGTTTTAAATTTCACGTCGGGTCGGTTTTCAAATTTAAAAGCAAAAATGCCTGAAGAAATGCAGTGCACACCACCTGAATTACTTGAAATTGCAAATTCATCAGTGGCAACATTAATTCCCGCGAAATCCAAAAAAGTTTACGATAATGCGTACGATAAATTTATAAAATGGGCCAAGGACAACAACGTACATATTCGGAAAATGTGATGATAGCATATTTTACACATTTATCCAAAAAACTGTAAAGTTCAACTCTATTGGCGCAATATTCAATGGGAAAATCTAAATTAAACATCGAACACAATGTAAAAATTGACAGCTATTCTAAATTAATTGCCTTTTTAAAGCGACAAGGCGAAAATTATAAACCTAAACCGTGAAAAGTTTTGTCTAAGAAGAGTTTGATGAATTCCTTAATAAAGCACCTAATGATAAATATTTAGCAACAAAAGTATGTACGCATTTTAAAATTATATATTTAACCCTTTCATATCTGTAATATAAAATTTTGTTATAATTTGTGAAATTCCAGTTATTTTATAACTATCCGCTATGAAAATAATAGATAAAAAAGAATTGAATCGTTTGATTTAGTCCGGATATAGCTCAATGGTCAGAGTGTTAAACTCGTAATTTGAATGCCTGGGTTCTAATCCTGTACTTTTAACTTTTTTTTTGCTCTTTCTAACTTTATTTTATTTTTATAAAATTCATATAGTATAATTTTTAGGTTGTACTAATATTTGGAGTCACAGGAGCTTGTAGATGCGATGAACTTGTTCATATAAAAGTTAATAATATAAAAGATTTGCGAGATTTAATCTTAGTAAATATTCCCAACACAAAAACTAAAAAACATAGCTCATTTACTATAATTGGAGATTTTTATTTAAATTGATACAGAAAATATACTACTCTTATATGTTTAATTTATAAATAAAGTGGTTAGTACTATGTTATGCTTAATTAATAAATAAAATGGTTAGTATTACCAATATTTTATTTTTTTGCCAAAATTGAACATATTTGATATCATTTCTCGAGATTAAAGTCGCAATTTTTTTATTTTGACGCTTGAAGTAGTATATGTCACTTGGAGTCGAGGGCACATTATATGTTTCGCCCAGTTGCTCAATATGTAATGTTCGCCTTCTCTTCCTAGTAACATAATATACTATTATTTTTACTATAATGAATACACTTGATTTTCAGATTTTTTAATACTCGGACCAATATGAATAAATTTTTTATTAGAAAATGCAAGAAATGGTAAGTTTTTCTAAATGTCAAGAAGATTATTGGAGGAATTCATATTGATACTAGAATATGGTTATAAATTTCACCAGTGCATAACGCGTGAACATTTCAGAAATTTACACTTTTTAGTTGGGCCTGAAATAACATTTTAAGGCACGTCTCCAACTAGGACAACAGAGATAATATTTATTGATTTTACCAAAACTTTTGATTATGTTAATCAGGTGATATTGTTATCTAAACTTGAAAGATGTGGTATGTGTGGAATTTGTTTAAAATGGTTTGAGTCATACCTCACAAATAGGTATCAAAGGGTACAAGTTGACAAATCTAAATCAGAATCTTAAAGCGTTGATACTGAGATACCACAAGGGTCAATTCTAGGTCCGACTTTATTTGTACCGTTTATTAATGACTAGGTACCTTCAGAAATTTAATTCTTTGAAAGAATCATATGCAGATGATACTAATTTCGTAGTAACAGACACTAATATTTCTAACGCTGAATGCTTAATAAAAGAAATATTTAAATAACTATGCTTCTGGGTCAATAAAAACAAATTATCTACGAATAAAGAAAAAACATGTTGCATTATATTTAAATTAAGCTCAATTGTACACAGATTTTCAGTCGCCTAGTACCGACAGTTGTTTATTAACAAAACCATTTACGGAGAAATATGTTTCGTCCCTCATAATCCATAAATAAAGAATGTTCAATATCTGGAATATTATTCCGCAGTTCTAAGAATCTTTGACAAAAATGGATGCGACCTTGCTTATCCCTTCCTGATATATTTTGCATAACAGCGATCTTGTACGGATGATGAAATTTCATGTTATGTTTATTCGTAGGATATTAGGCTTAGATAAATTTATGCTATTGAATGTTCATGAAGTGGTCCAGTCGGGTTATGAATGATTGTTTGCTTATCAGTTCTTGGTTCTGCGAATTACATGCACACCGAGGTCTGCCGCTTGATTGTCGTTTTAAAACAGTGCCATATTTTCTCCATTTAAAGACCAGTGTTCTATTTTGACAACTGTCAACTATTGTCAAGTAACTCCAAAGCTTGCTCTTTTAAACCATCACTAAATCAATTAAAATTTCTGGCTCATATATTTTTTTAAAATCAAAATAAAATGGCCCATGCATTTCGACGTTCCTGTATGTTTCTTTGGCTTAAACCTGGATATCTGACTTAAATTTATAAAGGAACCATTAGGCGAGGAAATGCGCTGACAAAGTATCTTTAGTTTTTCGTCTATTTCTTTTTAACTCTCCCATGTAAATTCAGGGAAACGTATTGGGGAGAGCTTTAATATAAATTTTCCTCTAGGAAAGTGTTTTTGATGTTTCAATAATATCACCCAATTTTCTTTCGGTTTCCACCAGTGTTAAACGATACTTGAGTTTTCAAAATGTAGTCCCGTGTGGGTGAGTTATTCCTAAATAAGTTCTTGTTGCCACGTTACGTTGTTGAAATGCAGGATTTTTTAAAAATAATTAATTATGAGTTTAAATCTCTCTTGACAGTTACAAAAATATCTGAGGGTGCCGATTGATGCCAGTTTCAAAACATAAATTTCTGTGATTTGAAAACAAATTATTCATGTATTATTACGTTTTTAAAATATTCTTCATATTCCCTTTCTAATGGTATATTATATAGATAATATAAACGTATAACACGCAGTAATCAATAGTAACCCCAAATTTAAACGCGTAACATAAAACAAAAAATATATCTATTTTACTACCTTCAATTTATTGAGATACATTTATCAGATTGAGTGCACATTTTGATTAGAACTTCCGTTTCTTTTATATTAATCTAATTTACAGAGCATTGTTTTTATTCGGTGGCATATGGAACACAAAAAAAATATCAAGATTTCTATCACATCGTATAAAATTTTAGACATGAGGGAAGATTTTATCTGCTCGACAATCAAATTAGTTCAGTTACTATGAAAATTAACCGTTTTGAGTCTTCCATAAACAACACCCCCACTTCCATTGTATCGTATAACTATTTAAATTTTTACTTTTGTTATTTTTACACGCTTTTAGGAAAAAGCAGTTTATTCCATCCTCGACAAATTTTAGTCGATATTTGAGTGCAGTATTTTGTAGAACGAAGTTTTTTTACTGATTTTGTAGAGTGAGAGGAAAATAGGTATTCATTTTTGGTTTACAACCAAAGTTTAAAAACAAAACATAGTGTGATATTTAAAATAATTTTAGGTCTTTGTAATTATTCAACAACTATAATACAAAATGTGTAATTTTTTTTTGTAATTCAAATTTCTAATCTAACAATGAAAGCATGTAAATATTTTCTAGTATTTTAATTTATGAGATCACAAATTTCAATTACGACAAAAATTAAAAACTAAAATTTTTATTATTATATACTTTGCTTTGTAAATTGTTGGGGGATGGTCAACAAAAACGAAAAACTAGATTTTATATGGTCAACGTTTCATTTTTATTTTAGGACTTCCCCAGGACTATTTAATTTAAAATTGAGACATTGTAAAAATTGTCCAATATTTACAAGCAAGAAGTTGAAAATCATCGTCCCATTATTATCTTATGCAATTGTTCTAAAGTTTTTGAATTTTTCATGTATGATTATATTTTTTTTCATACTAAAACTGTGATTGTTGAAGATCAGCATGGATTTATACAGGGACGGTCCACGGTATCGAACCTTGTGTGCACGACTCAATTTATCGCTAAAGCACTAGATCGAAAAAGTCAGATGAACGTTATTTACACAGACTTCTCCAAAGCATTTAACAGACTGGACTACGGTATGTTATATGATGATTTTATAAATGTTATATTAAGTGTGGTAGATCAAATTGCTCCAGTAAAAAAAATATTATAAACATAATGCATAATAAATTGTACGATAGTGATTTAAAAAATAAAACAAGTGAACGTAATAATTACTATTATAAGTATAGACAAACCAATAGTCAAACTGATTGGAATGTATATAAAAGCAAAAGAAATGAAATGAGAAGACTTATAAAGAGAGAAAAAGAATAATATGAGAAAACAATAGATTATCAAATAGATGACAGTAAAAGTATGTGGAAAACTTTGAAAAACATTGTTAATGATAAAGAAAAATTGGATTTCTCGAATGAAATACAATTTCCGTCAGGGAATATTAGTGGCCTAGAAAATATCGCACCGAAGTTTATATTTTATTTAGAGCATTAAATAATAATAATAATAATATTACGAGTGCTATACTACCATCTAAGGCACTCGTACGGGGTAGACCAGACACCAGTGCTGCCTTAAGTCCCCGGAGATATTGAGTCCGTTGTCGAGAACGAGAAATGCCGGATTTACTGGAACTACTCGTTCCCGACTGTCAGGCTAATCCAAGCCAATACGCCTGACATAGTCCTCCTCGACCACCAACTCAAGGTGATGTATGTCATCGAGTTCTCAGCACCTGCGGAGAAAAACATCACTTTGAAGGAGGAGGAGAAACGGACCAAATATCGTGATCTCCGGTTCGAGCTCCAAGTGCTGTACCCAGGCTACTCGGTAAAAATGCTCGTCCTTATAATCGGTGTACTCGGAGGGATAAAGTCTACGCTGCTCACGGAACTGAAGATCATACCGGTCTGCCAAAAATCAGCCGAGTGGCTGGCAGGCCAAATGCAGAAGGCGGTCATTCTGGGTTCTCTTCGTCTGCTTAGGGCACACGATTCTGGTATCTACAGTCACTAACTCTGCGGGATGTGGAGAGTGGCTGTAGTTGATGTGCCGGCGCGACTCCCGCGAGGACTGACCGGCATCGGGAAACCGAAAAAAAAAATAAGGCGCAAGGCCGGCAACCTCCGCGTTGGTGCACCCTGGATAGGCAGAGGTAACTCTGCCTAACTAATGTCGGCCGGGGGTACCAAGGCTAAGCACCTGGTATCCCTTTTACTTCGGGTTCCATACGACCTTAGAAGAAGGGCCCCTCACGATCGACCCAACGCGGATGGGGGTCAGAGACAGGCGGGAGGAGCCTCACCGGATAGTCTCAACAACGACGACACTGGCAATGTACATGGACGCTTTAAGTGGACGAGGGAACTTCGGGATGACTTGTTGACCTGCCGCGAGAGTAGCCAACCTGAGCGAAGGGGATACATGGCGCGATTGCATGCACTTTGGTGCGAAATGCATCCAGAGCATCGCGCCTTCTCTCAACAATACCTGAGAGATCAAGTATCCTTCTTGCGCAAGACAGGTTATGTAAGGGCACCCCGTCAGCTGGAAGAACTGCCAGCCGCAGTCCCACCGCGGCAATTACCAGCTGATGGAGAACATCCCTTAGAGTTCACCGATGTTGACTTAAGAACGAGAGTTAGCCTTAACACCAGGACTAACCTAA